CGTCAGCAATTACTAGTTTTCCTATTGTCATTTTCATTTCATATATATATATATATATATATATATATATATATATATATATATAAATAAAGGGTGTTTCATTGTCGGATCAAAGTCAACAGTAAATAAAATCAGTGTTATTGGTGAAAATTATTTTTATTTCTCTTACTGGATAATGTTCTTTAAGTCAAAGCAATTATGTGTGAAAAATAATATCGTCCAAATGTCCGCCAAGGCTTTGGTGGCACACCTCCACTCGATGGTCAAAAGTTTTGATGATGTCTCTGTCTCTGCATAGTTGCTCCTCGATCTCACCAATATGCCTTATTATCTCATCCTTCAGTTGTTGAATTGTTGTTGGCTTGTTGGCATAGACCTTACTTTTGAGATGACCCTAAAGTAAGAAATCTAAAGGCGTCAAGTCGCACGATTGTGGTGGCCAATTGATTCTTTCAAGAGATGATGTTCCCTGGGAACTTCTCATTCAAATTCTGTTTGAACGTCTATTTTCATGATAGGCTTCGATAACTTTGACATGTTTGATTGTTAATCTTTCAATGGTTGAAATTGCCAAGGACTTAAATTGTTAAATTTGAAAGAAAAAGAAAAAATCATTAGACGCTTAAACTTAATACACATTTAAAATCAACCCAAGTTATTGGAACACCCTTTATATAGTTCGTTGAAGGAGAGTCGTTGAAGCCGTCAAGAAGAGGATGAAGTGAAATCCACAAAGGAAGATGACAAAAGAGGTGGGTATTTCGGATGGAGCGCTAAGTAGGATTGTCTAGAAAGTTTCAGGGCTAAAACCATAAAAGGTTCAATGACGACAACTGGTCTTAAATGCCTCCAAACAAAAATGGCTTGGTAGAAGTAAAAAAACTTTTAGAGGAAATTCAGTGTGCTACATACAAAGTCTTCGTTGGGTTGAGCAAGAATTTTTTTTTACTGTGAAGGCTGTGATCAACAACCAAAACGACAGTGTTTACACCACTTTTGAAGTTTCGAAATCGGTCTTGCTATCCATTGAAGGAGTGAAAGTGAATAGTAGAATTTTCGAGTAAATGTTGGAGAGAGATGTGTGGCCTTAGTTGACACATTTAGCGGTTGCTGTGTCTTCACTCAAGATACAGTTAATTTGATGCAGAAATGGCGCAGGAGATGTTTTTGACAAGTTGGCCTCCATTAAGCCCTGACATTAATCCTATGGACTTTACGATATGGGTCATATTGGAGAGCGTAGGAGGAGTGAAGATTTAAGCTTTTCGCAAGGTCATAAGAAAGAAAATAATATATGCTGCATTACAGAGAGTCGAACTCGGTTTCCCGATTCTGTTTTTGATACAAATTAAATTATATAATTTTACATATATTATCTGTGGGTATTAATAGCTATCATTTTATTATATATATGCGTATATTTTGGCAGCATGTTTTCATTGAGACATGTTTCATTGAATAATTTAGACATGTTCTGTCTAGTTATTTTCAATTGGATCCTTTTATATTCATGATTAAGCTTTTTGGTGACTTTATTGAAGGACGAAAGAAAATCGCCGAGTTGATACATATTTTATTTATTCCGACTAATTTCGACATAGCACAATGTCGTCATCAGGGTGCTGTTTATTGCAAGACAAATATTGTAGTGTTTATTATTTTCGAAGACAAAATTGTTGCGTTCATCTGAAAGTTAAATTTGTTACTTGTGGTGTGAAGAACTCTGAGTCACTGTCTGTGATCGCTGACACCGCTTCAAAGGAGGTAAGTATGTATGGGTGTGGAGAGTTTTACGAAATAAGTATTAAAAAACTATTAGTGCAAACATTGACATTTCAAACTATCTATCGTACACATTTTAAAACATTTGTGGAGTATTCGTAATTAATTTTTATTAAGGCTTGGTTTGAGTTTTTTAATATAGATAGTTTATTCTTTTCATAGATAATATTTATGTTGGACACACTACAACAACGTTGTCTCGGCGGGTAATTTTTCATTTGAATGATATGTCTAACATTTCTAATCATTTACAACATACCTGTCCGCATTCGCAATTCAGAAAAACCTTTGGCAATGTGAAGAGTAGGATTTAATCTTTTCGCAAGGTCATAAGAAAGAAAATAATATATGCTGCATTACAGAGAATCGAACTCGGTTTCCCGATTCTGTTTTCCGAACTTATAACCGTTACGTCAACTCACTTTTCAATCGGGATTTTTTTTTTATATATCTCGAACTGACAACCAGATATCTGCCTTTTTTGGTGGCGGGGGGGGGGGGGCATTAAGTCTATCAAACACTTCGTTGTCCTGTCTGATTTGCGCAAAGTGTTTACTGAATCCCGCAATAAGAAGAGAATGGTCCCTTGTCCAGGGTTAGAAAAAAAGTACGATTTTGGAATATGTTAGAGAAGGAAGTCGATAATCAAGTCATCTCTCCTAGATGGCTATATCAATTGGGTGGCGAACTCTCGCTTGGATAGTTTATGACTGACCCTCGACGATTCATCGACATGAGCGGTCACCGTAGGCTAAGCGCGAGAAACACCGACAGAGACACCGACGCCTACCACGATGATTGACTGATTTCTTTTCTACGGCTAATCAACAATTTGCAGGTTATTTAAAGCCAGAAAATATTTTTAGATTCTAAGAATTTTTTGAGATAATAGCGACGTAGTGCTACAAGTCTTACTAATTAACCTATAGTTGGTGGAGAAGAGGTGGATTCATATCGTTCCTTAAGTGAATATAACCAACCCAACAGGAATTGGATCTCGGCTTTCTGATTAACTATTCCAAGGCATTATCCACTGCACCACCTGCACATCCAAGCTGACAGTACTTGGTATTCCCAAACCCTCACGTATCTACTGACCAGGATCGACGTTTTCTAACTTCGTTGATTGTACGGGGAACCGGAGTTTCAACGCTATACGGCTGTAAGCCGCTACTACGATGACGAAGTAGCCACAGCTCGTAAAACGGACGGCAATAGGGACCTCGTTGTTTCTCATTTCGTGCTCGAATCTAGACAACCTCAACCCCTTATGCGAAAAAGTGACGAAAAGAGCCAAACGGGGTGGTGTGATGGCGTCCTTCCAACATCATGACGGAAAACGAAGCGTTCTATTGGTCAGGTGTTCCCGAGTGAGTGGGAGTGATTAGTCCCCGTCTATACGACCAATCCACAGTGATTATTGGATAACTGTTTCACAACGCTCACTCGTCCCCCGGGGAAAAGCGATCACGCTTCGAGCGCCGATGAACTCGACAACGTCACACGTTCGGAGTGGAGGAAATTTTGAACTGGTTTGTCGTGTCGACGAAGAACTGAAAAAAGATATTAAAGATTATTATGAACTTTATATGACTGATTCCTACAAGAACTATGGTACAGTAAATATAATCAGTTCCCTATATATCCCTCGATATATAGTGTGGATAATATCTAATGTGATTTATGAAATCACGCTACAGTTTTTTATAGGTACAATTTTGTTAGAAACATAGGATTATGTAATATCAGATCCTATATGGCAGCGCATTCTGGAGAATCTCCTCACAGACAAAGAAAGAACTTGAAGCAACAGAAATTTGGTTCTACAGACGGATACTGAGAATACCATGGATCGAACATTTGAGCAACGATAATATTTTAGAGAAAATGCAGAGAGAAAGCACACTTATACTTACTCTCAGAAAGAGACAGTTGAAATTTTTGCGGTATATAATGTGGAAAGAAAGCTTGGAAAATTTGATACTCACAAAATAGATTGATGTCAAGAGGGACAAGGAAGCAACCCATAAGCTACCTAGATTGCATGAGTAAATGAGTGGCGTAACTATCTTTTGAAGAGATAACAAAAACAAAATTTATTAAGAGCTACAAAGGAGAGGAAATTGTGGAGAACCATGATCGCCAAAGCCCTAAAGGGACATGGCATATGGAAGAAGTTTCAGTATATTTAAATGTGCCACATTTTCTTAATGGTTGTTTCGATACACTATCAATAATCGAGTCGATAAATGCATCATGGAGACCCACTAGACTAGTCTTTAGTGATGGGTTTTGATTTTATTGTTTCAACCTATACACGTTATGTTTGCTCCAGTTAATACCCGACCTGCTTCTAAAGATAACATGCCCTCACCTTGATCACAATACCCTGCGCATTACCACAGACACGCTTAATGCGACAGTTAATTTGAAGTTATACCACGCTGTATCGGCCAATCAAAATACTTCGCGTGTATTCACTCGTTCTTTGAAGGCGCATTCTCACCTCAATCCATTTTAACTGACATAACATTGTCGGTACTGACAACCCATGATAAATCATTTACTTATCTAAATATCTATAAATTAGTTTTTCATTTAAATTTCGACTAAAGTGTTCATTTATGTGAAAGTATAAGTAGCCGCAGGCCTCGCAGACTAAAATATTTTTTTCGATAAATATATTCTTGATATATTCAATGAAAAAAAATATCCCCAAATTATATTTTCTGTATATTCTAATTTATAAATTCTTTTTTTTTTCCATTTGGTGGGTGAATGCTTTAATACTTTAGACGACTTTTAACTCTACAGGTCTCAAAGGGATTAAAATTTCAGCGGATTTACGCTTCTCGACAAAAGATGGGAATTATGGGATTCAGCAAATAGGCGATTGACAACTTGTTCTCCATTTTCCGTTCCTAAATCAAAAGAAGAAAAGGAAGAGAAAATGGTCAACAAAGAGTTTAAAGGATAAAACATTCGCTTATATGAATAACAGACGGCAATGATAGATCGTGATAAAGAAGAGTGGTGATTTAGATCGTGATAAAGAAGAGTGGTGATTTTCTGTTTCCGTTTAGCGTGAGGTGGGTGGGAGATGGAAGTAAGTAGTGCGCATGCTTGAGCAATTAAAAATTCTCCATTGGATGGATTACGATTCCGGAAGTGGTTTGGACTGAAAATGAAATACAAGGAAATTTTGACAGCAGATTAAAATGCACTTTATTATTTGCTGCTTCTGTTGTAACTTTTTTCTTTCATTTTTTTTTTTTTTCATTCGTTCGTTTTTTTCTCCTTTTTTTTCCTATTTTTCTTACTTTTTCTATTCTTTCTCTATATTATCTTTTTTTTCTTTTTCATCATCATTATCTTTCTTTAATTCTCTATTTTCGCCTCATCTTTTCTTCATTTGTTTTCATCTTCTTCTCTTTCTCTATTGCTTTACTACACGATTTTTCCTCGTCTTTCTTTCCTTTTTTTTATTTTTCCTCTTTTTTCTTTTCTATTTTGACCTCTTTTTTCTTTCTTCGTCTCCTTTTCCTCGTCTCTTTTTCCTTTCTTTTTTCTTTATTTCTTCCCCTCTTTTTCTATTTTCATCTCTTTCTTTTCATTTTTTTTATCTTTTAATTTTTTTCCTTTTCTATTTTCACCTTACTTTTTTTTCTTCTTTTTTAATTTCTCCTTCTTCATTTCCTTTTCTATATTCGTCTCCCTTTCCTTTCTTCATTTGCTACCTCCCCCTCCTTGCTCTTCTGCTCTGTTTTTATTTCTTCATTTTATTTATTTATTTTTTTTTTTTTATTTCTTCATTTTATTTATTTATTTATTTATTATTTATTTTTTTGATTTCTTTTTGTTATTCCGTATCGATCGGGAACTAGTTTTTTCTTTTTTTAAATTTTGAGACAAAATATTCTCAGACTCTCGATCTTATTCGGTCAACATTTGGGTAAAAAGTTATTTAGGACGCCTGCTTTAGAGAATTGATTTTCGAACTCATATTCAATTCTTATTGCATGTCTCCCTTAGTCTTAAAAAAAAACTAAAACTTTGGACACCTTTTGCATTGCCTAGTTTGCAAGATTGTCTCGATTGTAAATCCTCACTGGATATGTTCCTTCACTGAGGTTGTGTGCCAGAAGCTAATGCTTAATAATTATCTAAATAATAATAGCGCGATGGTTAACAAGCCAGTTTCGTAAATCATCACTAGTGAAGTGAATTTGATTATTACCGAGTGCCTCACAATTAGGACCTTGTATTAAAGTACACTTGTAGTCTTATAGATTTTATAAGTGTACAAATGTCGTAAATATTATCTAAGAAAGATGATTGCATATAGTTCGTAAAATACGCTTTTCCAATGTATTGGTGGATGCTGTCATTGTTATTTCACAAGCGGGATCATGGATGGCTTCATGTCATTCAACATCAGACGCCACATCTCCTCGATCGAGCCAATCAGGACTGATCGAACCCTGATCCACCTCCCTATAACTGGATACTACTTCAGAAATCACCAATTCCACTTTCGTACCTTGATTGGTAGTTCTGAAATGTTATATGGGTTAATGATGTCTCCGTCAACGAATGGCCTTCAGGCATTGATCACCCCCCCCACTTCCTCGCCCCGCTGCTTATTTAATTCTAATTAAGCTGTCAGTTTGATTTGGCGCCAGTTTGTTTTTTTTCCCAGAATAATCTTATACAAACTTGGATAAGTTTCATTCTGAACTTGTTGTTCTGGGGAGGCGGGGCGGATATTGAATTTTATTTTAATTATCCGTTAATCTTGTCAGCACGAAAGAAAAATAAACGTAAAAGATTAAATAAGCAATTTCGGCGCAAGAATATTATTTTCGTATTCATGAATTGCAACTCTTTATCCAAATTGACCGCATTTTTTTCACTTGCAATTTAATAATTTCATAAATATATATATATATATATATATATATATATATATATATATATATATATATATATATATATCTTCAGTCATAAGTAATTTCTCTTTTGGGGAACCAAGTGTAATATATTGAAAAATAAAATTGATAAACAAAAACGGAAGTAATTTATGCCTCAAATAGGTATCGACAAAGATTCGTTAAAAATGAGCATACATGACGAAAAAAAATGCCCAAAACTTAATAAAAACAAAGTATTATTGATAAATCTTTGTGAACATTAAGAGGAAAGACTAAAGGATTTTTTTGATTATTAAAAATATTTTTGGATCCTTTTTAGAACATACGAAATTTTGGTTAAAAATTTTGTTTTCCTTGCGTCAGCGGGTGACCATAAATTAGTATTGGAAATGTTATCGTCTTCTATCGGTGAAAAACACATTGTATTTGGAAATTCCTGTAAAAATAAAATAATTGTTGGATTTTAATGAAACTTTAAGGACTTATTCACAAATGAATGAAATTATTTTTGAAATGCTTCTTTTTTAGAATATTTTTCTAAATTTTTTCCAACTTTTACCCCCACGCACGCACGCCCCATACATACACACGCACGCCCCATACATACACACGCACGCACGCAGGCACACGCACACACACACATACACAGACAAAAAAACTTATTTCATTTATGAAATTACGTCTAATTCATTTTTGTAGTGCTTACTGTTTATATTAGTTCTAAGGACAATTGGAAAATTTAAATCATCAATTTTTTTTAATTTTTTTTTTTTTTGTCAAACTGGACACCAAGTTACAGAAAATTTGTCTGAATCGTAAAATAAAATTGGAATAAAACTAAGACATTATTTAATTAGAAAAGATTTTAATTGCTTTTACATATTATTGTCATACGAAAAAGATTTTCGATGAATGATGAATTTTTACTAGACTTGTTTTCATTTTTTTTTAAATTTTAATTAAAATAATTTCTAAAGTTAAAATTTTAAAATTCTGTATTGATTTGTAGCGGTTAGGTGATGTTGTTATTAAGTAAAAACTATATTTACTAATCATAAATGGAAAAGCTTGCTACAATTCAGTAACCCCCAATCAGTATTTTAAAAAGAATTGAATTTTTGGTGTGTGTACAAACGTGTCGATTTTTGTAAATACGGAAGACCATATACGACATTATCAGAAAATAACATCGGTAACTATAGTATTTTTTTTATTATTTTTGATAATTTTCTAACATTTACTCAACATGCGTCTTCGTAAGTAAGTCTATAAAGCCAAAGTAAAAAAAAAATCCAATAAAATATAAAATATTAGATTACATAGAATATTTTCTTAAATTTTATAGATATAAAAGATGTTTCACGTTATATTCGTCAAGTGATTGTCCCTCTTCGAAAAAATTCCGAAACGTAAATCTATCAATACCTCATAAAAGCACCCACCTGCGCGTTAA